ATTAAAAAACTTAAAATTGTTATACCTACAATATCAGAAACTGATTTCATTCACACCTTCAACATATCCAAAATCATCGATAAAATTGATGGTAGTCTTTTTTTCTAAAAATTCAACTAAAAATTACTATATATACTTATTTTCACAAATTAAACGTTTCTTTAGAGTTTTTCTTTTATCCTTCTCTGTAGTTAGTAATTAACTATAAATGATCTAGCTTAAAACAAAAAATAAGAGAATAATATCATGCTAGATGTCGTTATATATATAGCAACAATAGCATAGTTTAGGAATAATATTTAGTTATATAATTATGTCCGATTGATATGCTCATGTATTATCAATTTTTCCTACTTGATATTATAAATAAATAAAAAAAAAAAAAAAACATATGTCTAATATAAAGAGTGTGCTAAGGTAACTACCAAAAGTCTGAATTAGTTAATAAAATGCTACAGCTATATATCTTAATAATAGGTAGTATATTGCTTTGTTATATATTTTAATTTAGCTGTATGCAGAAGTTAAACAATTTAATAATTTTTAAAGAAATTATATAGTGGCTCCTGATCCAGACTTTTGGTGATCACCCTGGCACACTCTAGAATAAACTATACAATAAATAACTAACTTTTTATAAATCTTGAGAATTATCTTTAAAACCATACAAGGTTTTGAATACAACTGTGCTAGATGGTTTATAGGCTCAATTTCTTTAATCTTTCGAATAGCATCAAACCAGATTGCAGGAAATACGAGGCCAAACCCGAAATAGCTTTTATGTAGCATTATATACAAAACTTAGTAATAAATTTAAATAATAACTTTCAACATAATAATATGAAAAAGTTAAGGACTTCACAATTGCACTGAATGTTATTTATTTTCATCTTTCTGATCTTAAATTTAAATTTAAAAAAAATTATAAATTTAAAAAAAAAATTTTTAAATTTTAAAAAAAATTAAATTTAAAAAAACCATTCCCAAAAAATTTAAATTTAAAAAATTTAAAATCCATTCGTCAAGACCAATCAAATTAGACTATAGACTGATTAGAGAATAAAATAGGTGGAATTGGACGAACCAGATAAAGTTATATGATTTTTAATTAATTATAAATAACAAAAATTATAATTAATTATTGAACAGTTGATTATTATATTATTTCTTTTTACTAAACATCCCATTATGACCTTTTATTATTATTGTATGCTTTGTCATTATTTTCTTGAATGAATAAAGCTAGTTCATTCTTTGGTATTCGCCTATGTGATTTAAATTTCTTACAGACATACTCAGCTAATTTTCCTGTCAATCCTTCATGATACAATTCCATATATCTCCACAATTTTTGAGCAAACTTCCTTATTGTAATAATATCAACTGAATCTAATATATAAGGAACAGTTTGTTGCAAACCAGCCCAAGTATAATTGCAATTATCTTTAACATATCTCTTAGCAACCCCCAATACATTTTGATAAAGTTGAGTTCACAGTGAAATTTTGTATAAAAAACACATAAATGACCTGCACCTTCTATTAGTTCCACAATTGCTAACTTTTGTACAATAAAATCAGGTTGAGATGCCATTATTTTTCTTGTACAACAATCTATTTGTAAATTATTTTTTGCCAATTTTTTATCCTTACATGTTTTATATTCTAAAAGCAACACATTCTTTTAAAGCTCTCTCTTCTTTAATATTAATTTAATACCTTTTGACTCTCTTCACATATTTTCATCATAATCTACATCTTCTTTGAATCTATAGTCTTTGTCAAATACCATATGTTGGGTGTTTTGTCATCCATCAGCATCTACAAAAGTTGTCAATCACATTTTTGGTTGGTTTTCTCTAGGTTTTAGATTCATTCTTGCAGCAATAAGATCATTCTTGCATATGCTCCATGGTTTGTACTATTGTTGAAGGCAAAGACAGCCATTGCATTAGGAAACTTTACTTCAAAAATAGGAATTACTTTATCCCTAATTTGTTCTAGCAAATTATCAACTGTTTAGAAACCTTTTTGGTTTTTTCGGGTATTAGATAGCAATGTGCTTCTATAGAAATATTCAGGTGCATTCTTGCCTCTTCTTTACTTAATTTCAACTGACCACATTTTTTTAAAAGAAACTCACTCACTATAATTGATCTTCCATTTTCTTTTTTTCACAATGGCATGTTCTCATCTAGTACTCAAATCTCTTGTTTTCCGTCATTTAAATAAAAAACACTCTTATCATGTGTTATGAAGATTAATTCTCATTCATTTTGTTTAAGTACTGAAGGAATTTTTTCTATGTTGTCTTCTTCATATCTGGAAATAACAAAAAATTTAATTAAAATTTTTTAAAAAGATCATTAAAATCAATATTAACATTCTATCATTCTATTATTATTCCCTAAACTGTTTTCCAGACAAATTTGCCTGGAAATTTCATGATTGATCTGTGATTAAGCTATCAAATTATATTGATTTGTAGTCTAAATCGTAGTAGATATGTAGTTAAATTGACAGTTTAAGGGATATTGTAAATGTTTTATATATGAGATAAAACTTATCATTAGGCTTTTAATTATATTTTGTGCCCAGTTTGTTCTTTGAGTGCTGTAATAACTTCTTACATAATATAATTAAAAACCCTATAACAAAATTTCTCTAGATGGCATTCAGAAAAAAAAATTAGACACAAAATATAAATAAAAGCCTAATAACAAGTTTTTTCTTGATAGCACTCATATTGAAATAGATTAAATTATTGCAGATATATAGTTTTGCTTTTTAATCTATTAACAATTATTTAATAATTACAAATTATTTAAACCAATTTTTTATATATAGCAAAAAAATGCTTTATTGTTCTATTTGCAGATCAAAATATTTTAGCAATCAACATTAATTAAAATTATCCTAAAACATATTCATATCATTTCCATCATATCTCGCTATTCACTATTCTAAAATTGTTATTTCTTCTAAAAATTTTTTTCAATAAACTACTACATCATCCCACTCATGTCCATCAAGGTACATACCTAGAATTACAAAATTGCTATAATTTGTATAATAAATGTAACGTAAAATGTAATTTTTATAATACAGACTTATATATACCTTGCTGGTATCTTTTAAATTAGAACCCCAAAATGTTTAATCATCGTTCAGCTGTCTACAAACTGATTGTTTTTTTTGTTTCTTCTATATGCTCTAAAAGAATAATGTTGTTGACATATTCTTAAAACTCAGATGAATCAATATCATTTACTTCGAAATTTTGTCGTATCCACTATTTACATTGCATTGCAATGTCTTTATCATCAACAAGTCACTTGTGTTTTTGATGTTTACCATGTTGTGAAAGTGGAAATGAACTATGATACAATTAATACTTGGCTAAAGACTGAATTCTTCTGGATGTATATAGTTTTAGTTTGATGTAGGTTTTATATGCGGACTCTTTACTTGCTTCTTCTTTTCTATACCTGCTCTTTAGCAATACAAAATACTTATAAACTACCTAACATTTATTATATTCAGAGGCTGCAATTAAACATTCATTTTTTACCAAATATTCATGAAGTTGGTTGATTCCTTCATATGCTGTAATAGGTAATACTTCATTCATTAAAGATGTACTAAAATCGCTTAAAAATTTTTTTAATTAGTGTTAGTAACTGTGATAAAGCCTAAAATATTTTGGCAAATTAATAACAAATAAGAAAAATTCCCTAACTTTGCAGCTTTAAAAAAACTTGTAATCTTATGAGTTCCTTTAGCCACATTGGTAAGAATGCTAAAGGCATCAAACTTACGATAATAAGTTGTTTTTAGTAACCCTTTTATCATTCTTGTCTTTTTTTCTTTTATCTTGCATATAGAAGTTACAGTAAGTAAGCATTCACATGTCTTTTTATCTTTATTGTTTTCATCCTCATCATCCTCCTCTATATCAAGCTCACTATCCTCTTCTAAATCTTGCACAATCTCTTTCTTAGCTTTCTTCTCAACATTCACCTCAACATCCTTCTTAACATTTATAACAACATTCACCTCAACATCCTTCTCAGCATTTATAACAACATTCACCTCAACATTCATCTCAGCATTCACCTCAACATTCACCTCAACATCCTCCTCAACATTTACCTCAACATCTCTCTTAATATTCATCTCAACATCCTCTTCAACATTCATTCAAACATTCTTTTCAACATTTTCTTCAACTTTTCCTTCCTTTTGCCATCTTTTCTCTGCTAGCTCTTTTCTTTGTTTATTATATTTTTTGAGTATGTTATTTAATTTTCTCTTTGTTATATTTTATTAAAACACCTAAAATTGTATTTCTTATGCAGATTCTTATTACATATGAGGTATATTCATACGTACATGTGTTTAAGTAGATTATGCTTCATATTGAGATGCTAAAGCCACACAAGCTACACAGGTTCTTCTAGAGCCAAGCAAGCTACACAGGCTTTTCTAGGGCTACACAAGCTATGCAGGCTCAGAAGCCACACACAAATTAGTTTGTATGTGAGTTAGTTACTAAAGAGCCATATACTAATTATATTTATATGTAGGTTATCAAACTTTTAAAATTTTTGTATAAAAGCAAGAAACTTTTTTTTTGATTTTTATAATAGCCATCATTTGTTATGTGCTTTTATTAACCAATTAAAATGTTATATTCAAAATATTTAATTTGATTGGTCGATGTATTTGTCCTATTTCGACCAATTTTATATACTAATATATAAAATTTGTAACTTTTTAAATTGAATTAAGTTAAAAATAAATAATCAATATTAAAAAAATAAAGCACTAAGTTGTAGTATATTGATTTAGTTACAAAATAGCAGCTTTTTTTTTTTAGTATTATCTTTATGTCAAAAGTTGTTAGTTTTTAAAATTTGTGTAGTCTTTAAGTATTATGCATCATAGTTATGTACTTTGTAAATCTTGTGCTTCACTGTGAGTTAGGATTTAAATCTTGAATCTAGTTCTTGGATCTAGATTTTGGATCTAGAACTAATACTAAAATAAGTACTAATTATTTTTTTGTTTTGTTTTTTTTGTTCTGCTATTAATATTTCTTTTTTTTTGCAAGTTTTGTGCTTTATCAAAAAGGGTTAATAGAGTCAAGATTTAGATTTTGATCCTAGATCTTGAATTTAGAACTGATACTAAAATAAGTATTAGTCATGTTTTTGTTGTCTTGTTATTTTTTTTTGTTTTGCTATTAACATTTCTTTATTTTTTTGCAGTTTTTGTGTTTTATCAAAAAAGATTAATAAAGTTAAAAAAGTCTAAAATGGAGCATAAAATATTAGGTTATAGCATAGTTATAGAAGTATGTATTTGAATTATAATATAATATAAGAAAAGTATTGTATATAAAAATATGTAATATGTAATTAAAATTTTTAATATAATTTTTTAATAAAATTACATATTTTACTATATATTAAAATATTAATTAAAATTTTTTTTTTTATTAAAATGACCTTTTTGGTCTTTTGATTTTTATTAATAACTTTTTTGGTAATATTATTCTATAAACTACTACAGGAGAGTATACAATTGGCTACATATGTAACTTTTATATATTACCTATTTAAGAGGTATGCCTAAAAGTTTTTTACTAATTGCTATACCTAATACTCTTGCTTAGATATTCTATTTTAAACTTTCTAAACTAGTAATCTGTGTTAACTCACTAGTTATACTCAGATGCCTAGATTATTGTCTTAACTTTAGAACTATTTTATTCTTAAGGTAAACTCTTCAGAGCCTTCTGTACTTATTTTTATAGCTGATTTAGGTATTATTATAGTAGAACCAATACTTGTAATTAGAATTATATCATTTAATCACTATAATCTTGTAGAGTTTATATAAACTTTAGCATCTACTTTACAATATAACTTCAGTACTTTAGTATACTTCTGCCTTTTGTCCATTCTTTTAACTAAACTTCCAATTCAAATATTCTGTATAAGACTATAACTAGTCCATTAGTATATCAGGTTAGCCTGATATCTTTTTCTTATAGTTTATTTTAGCAGTCTAGTTAATGGTATTTCTGAGACTTCTAACTTAAAGGTTCTTGCCTGTCTGGATACTATGACTGGGTACTATAACCTTGGTATTCATTTTTTTAGACTAGCCTTTACAGTAAGACTGTTAAAGCTCTAATTATCTTTTTATTCAGGTCTTTCTAAATAGACTTTTTGTTATCTAATTTCAACAGATTTATATGACTACAAGGACTTATTTAGTGTTTGCACTATCTGATTTGTCAGTTTGCATTCTTCTGTGTAACTAGTTACACAGATATCCTATGACTTGCCAGTCATGCTGATATAATTACTATTATAAGTATTCTAACTTAATTATTAGTACAATTACTATAATATGAATATTATATAAATGATTATTCAAATTTTTACTATTAATAGAATTTAAACACCCAACTTACTACTTGGAGGTTTGACAACCTAACTACTTCATTAGGTCACCACACACTCTATTAAAATATTAATTATTTATTATATATATTATAAGTATTTAATAAAATAAATATTATAATCATCAAAAATTCAAACTTTCTCTGCTGATCCTTACGACCAAATTTGGAGTAGAAAGAAAATTATAGAAAACACAAAAACTGTTAAGACAAAGTGTAAAAGCCAACTAAGCAAAAAGAAAGCTAATAAGAAATTAGTTATAGTTTGTTAAAATAGTTAAATAGAAGAACAGCAGTATAATAGCCTAGAGACAGCCTTTTCAAGTTCTTTTTGTCTTTTTGGAAATTTTTTTTTTAGAAAAAATAGAAAAACACAGAAACCCTGTATTGCAGATTGTACATGTGACATGAAAATTAAGGCAGAGTAAACAATAAGCAAAATAGAAAATAAACAAACAGATGCATAATCACGCAGATAAACAAACAAACACAAACTCAAAAAGCAATCACATGCTTAGTATACCTGTTAAGGTTATAGAATAATGCAAAGAAGTAGTATACAAAAGGTTCAACTAGTATCTACAGAAACCAGCTGGTATGATAAACTAGAAAAATATCGAAGCTTGTTTGGTAAGTTAGACAAAACACAGAAGAAAATATTAGAAAGTCTTAAACCAAAAGTCTTAAGAAAAGATGAAAAATTAGCTAAACTTATTGGCATCGAGTCAATATTAGTTTGTGTTTCGAAATTTAATAGAGATTTATAATTACTGTGAATATATATAAGCAAGAGACAATAAAAAACTATGAAAAAATAATGATTAGCAAATAAAGAAGACAAAGATGAACAAAGAAGCATTAATAGAACAAAAATGTGACTATTTAGATTATAGTATTATAGAAAAACAAACAGCTGAACTTAAGTCAAATGAGAAGAAAGAAAAAGAAGACAGTATTGAAGAAGAAAGCATGCAAGTTAAGAATAAAGTAAAGAATATGAAGTTGGATGAAGAATTGAATAGTAATGAAAAAAAAAGTAATAAGAAGATGAAAGAAGATGAGAAAGTAAATAAAAGTAAAGAGCAAATGCAAAAAAATACAGAGAAAGAAGCAATATATATGGAAGAATTACTAATGACATGCAAAAATAGAAATAGAATAGATAGTATCTATACAATGTGGGACATTCCAGCTGAAGTTCATGCAGTATAAGTAAGAAAGTGTCTTCAATTTTATGGTAGAATTAGGTTTATAGGTTGGAAAAACTGTGAAACCAGCAAAGCTGCAATATTTTCAGTCAAATTTAAAAATGAAAAGAGAAAAGCAATGCTAGATCAAGCATAATCAGTACATTTTAAAGAAAAAAAAACCTGTAGAGTAACTCCTAACATCTTTGCAAGAGAAGTGTTAAAGAAAAGAGCATTATATAAAGCTATAGTTAGAAATATTCCAACAACAGTAATAGAAGTATTGTTGTTAAAACAACTTAAAGCAGTTAAGCCAAAAGCAGTTTATATATCAGTAAATAAAAATAGGAACCAGCAGAAAACAGCATCAGTGTACTTCGAAACAGAAAAGACCTTAGGTTCGCTATAGAAAGAGAAGTGTATTACTATAGTACAAAATTAGAGTGAAGTATTGCAAGATCCTTCAAGATTGATGAAACAGAAAGAAAAGAAGAAAGAGAAGTAAAAGAATATCAGATAAACAAAAATACACAACATGAGAGATTTGTAAAAGTCAAAGAAGAAGTAAAGAGAAGTAGGACTAACAAAGAAAGTCAGAAGAAAGGAGATAATGTAGATAAAAAAAAGTATAGAAATAATACTTGACCAGAAGTAACAGTAATTAAAGAGCCAAAAAGTAATTTGCAAGATACTCTTAATAGAATTTTAAAAAGATTAGATGAAATAGAGGAAAGACAATTAGAGAGTATACTTCCAAATCATTCCTGAAAGTTGCCATAGATGTTGTTCAGAAAAAGACAACCACTTTGTCAGATAAACTAACAAAAATAGTAATAGCATAACAGGAATTAAAATAGTGTGTTACAATATAAATGGGATAAAAAAACAATAAGACCAAGCTTAAAGCAATAGTTGAGTAGTCAAAAAAAGAGAAAGTTGGGGTTTTAGGATTAGTAGAAACAAACTATAATAGTAGAGATCTTAGGTTTAGTTTAAAAAATAGGCATTTTAAAGGTTTATGAACATGAGAGGCAGTTACAAAAAAGAAAGGATCAGGTGTTGGGCTATTAGTAAACCAAGAATGGGAGCAACATATTGGTAAAGTATATAGATTTGAAGAGTATTTGGTTGAAGCAAGGTTCTACTTCAGTCAAATAGAAATTATGATAATAGTAGTATATATTCCTCCTAATGACAAGATTATGACTAAAAGATTACAACAAATAATAGTCAAAATGTATATAGAAAGAACATGCAACTCGCAGTTCATAGTTATAGGTAATTTTAATCATATAGTTAGTAGTAAGTTAGACAAATTAAGTAGTAGTAGTAGCAGTAGCTTCAAGCTCCTTCCATTACACAAATAGTTGTTAAACCAGAGGTTTAGTAATACGTATAGAAAATGCAATCCAGAAATAAGAGATTACACATAGTCAGGACAAGGAGTACAAACAAGGATAGACCAAATATAGGTTTCAGAAGATCTACAGCCAGGTGTAGAGCAAGCAGAAATCATCGATGCAAAATTTATAACAGCCAGT